GTTGGTTGGTTGGTGTGAATCAAACCTGAGCTACTGGGTCCAGTAAGGGGGAGAAGCAATGTGACACAATCCTGTTATTTGTAGTAGAAGGAAATGAGGTAAAAGTCAGCTTAACATTAACTATTTATATTTCTAAAAAAGCCAATAAAGAACCAGTAAAACACCATTTGATCATTATTCTCCTCTTTTTATTGCATATTTGAGTGATAATTCATGTCATTAAAGGATAAAATCCTTCAAATACACAATTTCATACAAGTCTAATCAAATATGAACTGAATCTCTTTCTTCAAGTCAGTAGATCTGTTGTCTGCTTCCGTCTTCTTCCACAATTTGTACATTTCTTCCTTCAGAGTGTGAAACACTGCAGTTTGCCTGCTGGGAGGTTTCCCCGGGTGTCCCCCAGGGGGCGGTATTGGCCCCCCCCCCCTTCCCCCCCCCCCCCCGCCCCCGCCCCCCCCCCCCCCCCTCACCATGGGGCTGGATCAGCAGGACTTTCATCAAACTAAACGGCAGTAAAACTTTACCTTCCTTCCATCGGACGATTCAAATGAAAACGTTCCTGTTCCCGCAGGAACTCTGACGTAATCATAATATAAACACATGCAAAAAACGCTTTTAAATGCAGAAAATGAAGATTCTATCAGATCGCCTTGTTTCCACGATCCTCCTTCACAAATACCACAAATACACATGAAGAGGCTGAAACACAACCTATTTTACAGTTCTTTGGTTTCTTTTAAAGCTGGAGGCTAAAAGCAGAGGCAGAAACAACGATGAGCGGTGAACCTCAGAGACCAGAAGCTCGCTGCTGCCATCTGCTGGACGGAGAATCCTCCAGCTGCCAGAGTGTTTCCTGATAAAGGAAACGCAGTTTTCCTGTTTCTGATTAGAATCAGAGAAGAAGAACCTGCAGAGTCCTCTGAGTCTCTTCCCAGATGTTGGTCCTCTGTTTTCAGTCCAGTTTGTCTCAGTTCATGAAGACAGGCTGAGAGGTCAAAGGTCAGTCAGTGTCATGGACCTTCAGGCTTCTGCTGAACAGCTGCAGAGAACTTTAAAGTCTGAGTGGATTTAAAGAAACAACAATGTGTTACGAGTTTGATCAGCAGAGCTTCTGCTAGAACTGTTGTCAGCCCCAGAAAAATGTAGAATACGATCCATCCTAGACTCTCTGGTTCTGGACTCTCTGGTTAAAATGTCTGAAAGCAGCTGGTTTGAAGAGGAAAACTTAGAGACACAATAAATAGTCAAATATTTATTGCCAACAAAAAGAAAATCAGGATGACAGTGTGAAAGTATCTTCGTATAAATAGATATATTTTATAGTTGAGTCTTCTAAACAGATATGTACAAATAAAATATGACAGCATGTTGAACGAGGAATAAAAAAAGTCTCTAATTTTCACACTGAAGACATGTAGATGTGTCTGCAGTAACTTTAGCTCATCTAAAATATTCATTTAAAATATTATTACCAGATATAATAAAAAGTTCCAATAACAGCAGTAGGGAGAAACAGCTGCAACATGAAGACACCAAAGCAGGACTTATTTTACAGGTCAAAGCAGAGCAGAGAAAACAGGATGAGCAGTGAGAGGTCAAAGGTCAAAACACAGAAACAGAACTTATGTTACAGTCAGTGAACCTTTTCGTCATTACATTATCCATTATTGTTACATGCCTGAGCTTGAATATGGCACATACCAGAGAAAAAGTGTTGATATTGAGGGGATTGTTTATTTATTTTCATTGTGTCCCCTACGTCACTGTGTGCCACATATGCCACAACAACACATGTTAGACGTCTGAAGGCATGAAATGTGAATAAATAAAGTTTTTGAACTTTAATGTATCTAATTCTGATTATTCATTGAATCCTTTGAATTGAAATATTTAAAATACTTTCACAGCAAAAATGATATGCTATTGATTTAGATTGATTAATTACAGAGTATGTAATTAATTAGTTAATTCTTTTAATCGATTGACAGCCCTAATATATATATATATAATTAAATTAACTTTTTAGATTTTAGCAAATGGCTGCAATGAAAAAGCCTTTAGTCCTGTTTTTTTGGAGGCCTTTTGCACAGCAGAGCTAATGCTACTCCAACTGCTAACAGTCCCAGTCCAAGGAAGAATCTGATCCATCCTAGACCCTCTGGTTCTGGACTCTCTGGTTCTGGACTCTCTGGTTCTGGACTCTCTAGTTCTGGACTTCCTGGTTCTGGACCCTGGGTGGGTCTCTGAGGTTCTGGGTGATCAGCAGCTGCTGTAAAGGACAGAAAATGAAGCAGATTTATGGAAACAGGAAACATCTCCTCACCATGAGCAGCTGCTGGTTAGATGTTTGCTCCCCTTCACGGGTCTCATTTTTGCGCACTGGAATAAATAAAAGTTCAGTTTAGACTTTGGAGCAGAACTCACCAACAACCAGCGTGACTGTGTCCTGCTTGACCTTTGACCCGAGTTTGGGGACCAGGCAGGTATAAATTCCCGCGTCCTCCTCCCTGACGTTGAGCAGCGTCAGGGAAATGTTCCCTTTGGACATTTCAGAGCGGTTTAGAGATGTTCTGCCTCTGCCTGTCGGAGTCAGATTTGCTTCGGTAAAAATGCACCAGCTGAGTTCCGTTGAATTTCCACTCAACTGTTAGGCCTGAGACATCGAGCGGAGGATCCAGAAAGCACGGAAGGAGGGCGTCGCCGCCCGGAGGCGCCACGACCGGATCATGTGACCCGATGACCGAGGAGCTCCCTGGAGACACAAACAGCCCTTTAGAGGATTCTTGGTTTGGTCTTATTTGGGGTCCCTTTTGGATTACGCAGCTTAACTAATAATGGAGAATAATGAACAGAAAAAGAATAGCAAGGAGCTAAACCATTTACCTTCCCTTCCCACTCAGGGCTGACATAGGTTTAGATTTGATTTGTGTTTATAATTTACAACAGTTGCAACTTTCTAAACAGAATTTCTCAGCTTAAGTACTCTATTCAAACCAAGTGAATTGATCAGGCCTCTTCTCTGGTCTGAGCTGTTTACGCTCAGATTAACTGGAGGGTGACGGGTTTGCTGATTCCCATGATGCACCTCTCCTCCCTCTATAGGCCCAGACCTGTTCCCACTGATCTGCTCTGTGGGAGCAAAGACTGGACTCTGGACCTCAGGAAGGGAAGATGGAAACTGACCACAGACACATGGAGAGAGGAAGAGGAGCAGCAGGGTCCAGCAGAGCGTCTTCATCCTGAGAGAGGAGACAGAGGAGAGTCACACACATCCAGAAAGTCCTGAACACAGATCTCTGTTCTGGGACTTTTCCTCCTGCAGAACGGAGCTGCTGCTTTACTAACTTCAGCTTCTGTTACAGGAACTAATCCGTCTGCTTCTTAGGAAAAATGGGTTTTCTGTGTCTCAGCTGATGGATTATTGTTGTGATTCACCACATTAAACAAAGAACTAACCACTGAAATGTTACTAATAATGAAGAATGTCAGAATAATCCTCCAGTTCAACACATCTGGCTGCTCTTTCTGATAAAATCTTTCACTGCTCGACAAAAAAAACAGGTATTATTCCATCAGATAAAGAAAATGAGACGTCAGCGGTGTGCAGCTCTGAAATGTTTGAAGGAGAACATCAGCCTGAGTCTGAGCTGCTAAATGAATAAAAGTAAAACCTTCCTCTGTGGGCTGTCGTCATATTAAAGAGATTTAGGCACATATACAAAAGTGAAACTCAAACCCAACCAGGTGGGATAAAAGGAGGATTTGCATATTTTCAAATTATTCAAATAAATTATCTACACGTACAATCTGAAGTTTTGCTGTGTTCTCGTTCTTAAACATGCTTACATTGATATTCAAGCTTAATTAATCAGCTAAAGCTTCTAAACCCATCACATTATTTTATTATCTGAAACAGTCTTTGTTTTCCCATAAAGTCATTCAGCTGTAAAAGCTGCAAAAGATCTGAAAGTTCACACAAAGAAAGGCAATAGTTAAACAACGTCAAAGGAAATTCTTTTTGTACCATCAAAGATGTGAGAACATCTGGCAGCTCTTTCTGTTAAAACGTTTTACTGTTTCACAAAAAAAGCTGGAATTATTCCATCAGATAAAGAAAATATATTTTTAAAACAGTAAACAGAAACTGAAGAACTGGTTATCTAAGAATCTCCAAAAAAAACACATAAGAATTTTGGACATATATAATGTTGTGATTTTATGTTCGGACAGATTATCATTAAAAATGTTACTGAAATGCCCCCAAAGTCTAACAGTTTTCGGAAAGTGGCTAAATATTGTGCCTAAAGCCAGTAAAGCCATTTCTGCTACGCTTTTCATGGAGCTGAATGTTTTATTTACAAGGCCTCCTATTGGATGAAGAAAGCCTGTCTGTGATTGGCCGCTGGTTTATTTACATACGAAGCTGAGCTGTGAGAACCCGCCCACAGAAAGTCATTGTAACTTTTCGAACGTATTTCATCAGCCTCCTAGACAAACATTTAGTCAGATTTACGTTTTTGCAGATTTTCACTTTGAGCTGAAGCTATCAAAAACGTCTCCATTTCTCAGCTTTTTAGACTCCAAACTGCCACCAGCTGCAACTTTAGGACAGAAACTCCCTGATCTCTGTCCTGGTTACTTACCTGGACAGGTGAGTTCAGACTGGCTGCTTCGTCCTGTTTCTTTCTCAGCTGAGAGCTGCTGATTCTGCTTTA